ACATTTTATTGTTTAATTATGATTCAGGCGTGTGGTAGTTATGGATTACAGTGCATGGATTTCCTTTTTTGCAAAGGGAAAAGTAGGTTATTAAACACAGACCTGTCCACTTCTGATGTCCACGCAGTGTGTTTTATTTCAAGTATGATACAAGAAGTAAATGTTTATGAGAAATTCGCAACTGCATTTTAAAAGGTCGTTAAAAAGGTAGTTTCCTCAAACTGCATTTATTTTAGCTGCGTCTGTGGTGTGCAATGAGAAACGTGGGATTAACTCTGAATAAACACTAACCATATTCATCACAAAATAGCACAGCGCTAAATTTTTATTAGCTGAATGGCGGTGGATGGAATGACACAAAGGAAAAGACATGATGCACTTCAGTTACGAGAAACTTTTACTCAGAAAATGCAAGACTATCCACAAGTTTCAAGTCTGCCCTCATTTTATAAAACTGCTTTGCTCCCAGGGAGTTAGAATTTCTTGAAGCAATGTAATAACAAATTCTTGTAATAATGTAATAATGCTTTAAAGTGGTGTAGTGGGCTGGTTCGGCAGACTTTCTGAAGGCCTTTTAAAGTTTTTCTTTGAACATTGGCTGCTTTTTCACTTCTTTTTTCTGTCCTTATACCCGAACGGCTTGACATTCACCTATGAATCATTCAAGCACAAAAGGCACCTGACTCAAAGGATATGTAGACCCGTATTGTGTCTACACATAACAGGAAACTTAGCAAAAAAACAACAACTTTAGGTCTTGCCTTTAGGCACTTTGGTACCAACAATTGTAAAAGCACATAATTTGCCACAATTTCTTCAATCAAATCTATGAAAAATGCTCAAGATAATACTTTGACAGACATAAAACGGGATTTTTTGCACCAACAAGGTGCTTGAGTCCTTAAGAAATGGGGGAAATGAATCCAGCAAAGACCTGATACAGGACCTGAGAGGTGCATCTGTTGAGCTAATCCATCTACTGTTCACTAAAACATCCTCAGAAACTATCTCAGTGAAGGGTGGCTGTCAAAAAGCCACTCTTGAGGTGTACATGAGAACTTGAGATAGAAAATGAGTAGCAGCAAGTCTATTCCAGATTTTAAATCTTTGGTTCAAATTGTCGTCAATATGGACGGTGGAGCGAGGTACATGAGCAAATATCTGCCATGTGTAAAACATGGTGGAGAAAACAGTCTTCAAAAAGCCCGAATAAGTATTCCTGAACACTACTCAAAGAAATTACAAGAGAACCTGCGTCAACCCAGCCGTTGAAAAATCCACCAAAATTTTTCTCTTGTACCAAATTCTTCAAAATCACTCTGCAGGTCAAATATAAGAATAGGTTTTAAATCTACCCTTTTTGTTTGGGGGGCGGGGATTTGTTGATACATCTCATTGTTAAACCAATTTATTTAACCTCAGCATATTTTAAAGAACAACAATTATGCACTCCAGGATGTGTACATCCTCATCATTGAAAGAGTGTCCACTGGCCTGTAGGTGTAAATAGACTGCAGAGTCCTGGCCTGACGAGTTAGCTCTTCTGTGTTGTGCCATCCGCTTCGCCAGACGTTGTTTGGTTTCCCTGATGTATAAATCATGGCAATCCTTCTGGCACTTAAGAGCGTACACTATATTACTCCATTTGTGTCTAGGGACCCAATCCTTGGGGTGGACCAATTTTTGGCACAGCTTATTTTGGGGTCAACAATTTATTAAACAATATTTTTCAGGTTCGAGAGTATTGGTAACAGGTTCATGTCAAGCATGGCAGACAGCAACTACAGTATGTCATGAAGTGTATCTTTGATGCATGAGCTGGAAAAATATATGTTTTTTGAAGATTTATTATTTGCGTTCCATAAATAAATAACAGAAACTTATAAGAAAGAGGATATGGATTTTACCATTTTTAAGCCAAAATTGTCCTCCTTGTGTCCTGGGGGTTAGAGCGGGTTCTCCACCAACTGGAAGGTCGGGGGATTGATCTCAGACTCCTCCAGTCCAAATGATGAAGTGTGAGTGTGAGTGTGTGAATGTTAGAAAGCGCTTAGGTATATATAAAATGCTGTATGAATGTGTGTGTGTGAATGGATGAGTGAGACTAGACTACATAAAAACCAGTCCATTTTTTTGATTTATGTTTGCACGTTTCAATAACCCATTCCCAATTTTTCTAACAAATCATGAAGAGATGAGAGATCATTCATGACTTTTGCACAGTACTGTATCTTTAAAAAAATGACATATTGTCAGACTTACAGCAACTTAAAAGCATTGTGATCAACAAGAGAAGTCACAAATTAGATGGAAGTCTTAGCAGAAACCTTTCAGACTACTATAGAAAAA